TTATTTGGCTCATAGTTTGTGGAGGTTTCAGACTATAATTAGCTGGCTGAAGGCAGAGTGGCATGACAAGGGGGCAACACTTCATGGTGAAGGAAGACAGAAAAGCAAAAGAGCAAAAAATGGGGAAAAAGCCTCTTTCTGTCTCTTTTATTTTAGCCAGACTGCTGGAATTAGGGCACAGTCAATCAAATCAGTGGACTGAGCCAGCCATCACTCACTCTTAATCCCAGCATTGCACTATGAATCAATCACAAACTCTAAGTCCAGCTGCCTCCTAAAAGTCCTATCCAAAAGTGCATGAGGCTTTGGAGGACATCCAGACACAACCATAACATTCTAACTCCTGGTCCCCCAACGACTCTTGTACATTCCCTTACCCAAAAGGCATTTAATCTAAGTGTTGCCAAAGTCCTAACAGTTGCAGCACTGCTGAAAAGTTCAAGACCCAAGTCTCCTCTGAGAGTTAAGGCAAACTTTTAGCTGTGAGTTCCTATACAAATGAAAAGAAAGTTAAATACTTCCAACATTTAATGGCACAAGATAGACATTTCCATTACAAAAGTTGCAAATGGAAACACAAAGGAATGGGACTAAAGCAAGTCCAAAATCCAGCAGGGCAAACATTAAGTCCTGTTGTTCCATGTGAAGCATCCAAGGCAATCTGTGGTAAGATGCTATCTCAAAGGCTCTTGGGTGACGTTGCCCATATCACCTATACAGTGGTTATAGTTCCGATGGCTTCTTTCTTGGGTCTGCTGTGGTCTCTCCTAGTAGTTTTCCTCAGATTATCAATGTTCCTGGCTTCCCCAGACTTCTGGGGTTTCCACTGTTCGGCTTCACAGCTTCACACATGCACTGAAATATGATGGAAGCCTTCCTGACTCCACGACTCTTTCATTCTGCATGCATCTAAAGCAGTGCCATGTAGATGATGACAAAGTCTGCTGCCAGCTGGAGTAGTAGCCAGACTTCCTCTCTCAGTTATAGAGGTCAAGTACCTTGTTTGCTGAGCCCTCTAAATCCAGTTCTTTTTGTTATTGTTGGCATTGGGAATCAAACTCAGGATCTGATGCTTGCCAGCCAGAAACTGTGCCACTGAGCTAAATCCCTGGCCCTTGAATCCAATTCTGAGGAAACAAATCACCTAGGTCACTGCCATTCTATAACAAGGTGCTTTGACACTTTCTTCTCAAAGCAAATTCTTTCACTTTTGCAATTCTGAGGCTGTGAAGGGAGGAGTCCTGCTGCTTCTTGTGATGCCCTCAGGCCATCTTTTCTATTTTCCTGTTCTTTCTCAGCAGTCAAGATCTTCTCTGCTAGGGGCTGGGGATTTAGCTCAGTGGCATAAGCGCCTGCCTTGCAAGCAAGCAGTCGTGAGTTCAATCCCTGGTACCAATAAAAAGACAGGAAAAAAAAAAAAAAGATCTTCTCTGCTTTATCTTTGTGGTCCACAGATATACTATACAATGGCAAGCAGAAACACAGAAACGATGCTCAGGATTTGGAGGCAGATTTATTTACATCAGTGGGAACTGATCAGGCTCACTCCCAAAATTTCACTCCTGATCTCTGGTGGGTTAGGGCTTTATTGGGATAAGCAAGCAGGAAGCACAGAGGCAGAATGGCTTGTCAACTGGGAATTAGTATATACAGTGTGGCTATGCATCACAGTGACCAGCCATTTCTTTTTTTTTTTTTTAAATTTTATTTAAAAGGAAAAAGAGAAAAAACAAAACAAAACAAAGTGGTGTAAGGGTACACATAATACAGAACTACACAAAAAAAAAAAACATTAAGAAATCACCAGTTAATAGATTACATATTATCATCTTAGAGATAGTTGCTCAAGTCACAGTATCAAATCATACAAAGTGGACATTCAAACAGTGAGACTGCAAACAGTTGTGTTCAATGATCCAATCAAAAACATTAATATGGTCAGCTATTTAACACCCCTAAACACACTTGCTGTTGTATCTTTTAGAGCTCTTTTTTTCCCTCTCTTTTTTACAACAAAATTTACACATTTTGGGTTTTGTTACTCCTTAGTTCTTATTACTTTTTTGGGGGGGGAGAGAATAAAGTCAAATATGGCAAAACAAAGCTGTCAGTCAAAACCAAGGATAGACATAGCACATGATGTAAAAACAGAGTACAAGGTTATCAACAATGGTTACCATAATGTCTCTTGTTTCCTTAAAAAGAATTGTCTATCTCATTAGGTATTACAAAGTTGAACAAAACAGTAGAGAACAAGACCAATAAAACTTAAGCATTGTAAACATTACAGGATTTCCAAAGGAGACAATAGTCAAACCAGAATGGGCATCTTAGTGAATCTTATTGCCTTCAAAGTATTTCTAAGAGACCAGAAGCAGCTGGAAATGGAACAGGAACTATTACCTGGGCAACTAACAATGAAATATACTTGCTGGTGTGGGGGTGGGGGAGGTGGCACATTTTCTGCTACAACTAAAACTTCTTTTCTGACTAACATCACAGTGTTTTAAATCAGTCTATAGCTGGGACCCACGCCATGCTGAGACCTGGAGCACTAGGAAACCAAGCAACCCCTCCCGCTCTGCCTGTTTCATTTTGTTGAACTTCAATATACATGAAAATATGGTCAACTATTTTGAAGAAAACGAGAGACTCTACGACAGCCATTCCTCATTCTGTTCGGATCAGTTTTATACTATGTTGTTTTATATAGATTCTCTGTATTCGAAGACATGGACAACTATTTGGAAGAAAACAAGAGACAATATAATAGACAGTGAAGATCTCAGGTCCTAGCTTTGAAATTTATATCTCTTACATTGCTTTCTTATGTCCTATTTTGTTTTGTTATGTTTAGTTTTACCCCTTTTAAAACAAAAATTAAAAAAAATCAGTTACAGGGCTCTTTGCTCTTGATTCTCAACATAAATCTGGCTAAAAGCCCCCAGCAGTAGCCATGCAACTGCCTCAACATTCGACTGTCTTGCAATGTAAATTTATTAGCTTTAAAAGTCTTTTGTTGGACTTTTTAGGTCTTCTACATAAAGAATCATATTATCTGCTAATAAGGGTAACTTGACTTCTATCCTATACATATGCCTTCTATTTCTTTCTCTTGCTTGAGTGCTCAGTTTTGAGAACTATATTAAATAGAATGCTGACAGTGGCCATTCTTCTTTTTCCTGACTTTAGAGGGACTGCTTTCAGCTTTTCCCCATGTAACAAGATGTCAGAGTAGGTTTGTCTTAAATAGCTCTTATCAGATTGAGATATGATCCATCTATACCTATTTTATTGAGTTGTTATTGTGAAAGGACATTGGACTTTTTCAAAAGCATTTTCTATATCTTTTGAGATAATCATATGATTTTTATCCTTGCCTCTATTTATGTGCTGTATTACATTTATTGATTTTCATATGTTGAACCACCTTTGCATTCCTGGGATGAAGCATACTTGCTCATGAAGTCTGATATTAGTAGTTTGCTGCATAGTTTGGTGGTATCTTGTTGAGGATCTTTTTAGATCTGTTTAATTAATGAGCTTGGCCTATAGTTTCCTTTTTCTAGTTGGGTCCTTTTCTGGTTTTAGAGTTAAGATGATGGTAGCTTTGAACTACCATTATTTAGGTTGGTAGTTATTTTTGCTGTTTTCTGAGCCTACCCCTTCTTCAATACAGGAAAATGAATTAATTTAACTGCTAGATCTGTTTCTGTATAGCTCTAAATCCCCAAGGACTAATTTGTTCCCTTGACACACATATATACATGCTCTGATTTAGAGAATCTATCTTTGCTAGAATTATAAGTCAGAAATAACAACCAACATTTACTAAGCACTTCTTTGGTGCCAGGTACTGTAGTTATCTATGAGCCAGCACCCTAAATGACAAGCCCTCTAAGTCTGACCCGCATAGTGCACGCTTTTACTGCTACTGGACAGTGAGAAAGTTTGGGCAGTGAGAAAGGTGCGAGTTTAAGGCTGCGGTGTTTTCACAACTACACCCAGGATTAGTACACCCTGGAACACAGTGGGAGGAGATGACAGGGAATTGAGCAAGTGTTCTGCTGCTGGCTGCAGGACACCTGGGCGGCCTCAGCTCACTGCTTTGAAATGGCGAACATTTTAATCTGTAATGAACTAATTGGAACTCATAGCAACTTAATTTCAATCGTGTAAAAACTTAGTGCCAGTAATATGTTTAACAGCAAGGCTTGTTCAGCCCATGTTTGGCTTAGGTCAAGGCCAGCCCCTCCGGAGAGCAGCTCCCTCCTGTGGTGGGTGCTGTCCCTTTTCCTGAATCTTTCTGGTTCAGTATTTTTTTTTTTTTATACATTTTTCTTAATCTTTTTTTTTTTAATCGGTACTGGGGATCAAACTCACAACCACCTGCTTGCAAGGCAGGCTCTTATGCCGCTGAGCTAAATCCCCAGCCCCTTTTTCCTGAATCTTTCTAAGCCTCCTTACTCATCTGTAACGTGAAGGTGATCGCAACTACTTCTCTGGGGTATTTCAGGGTTTATATCGCATTTTAAATTCTCAGCCGTCTATGTACAAGGCTATTGGGCCAGGGGAAACAGGGAAATAAAAAAAGACCCAAATCTAGGGTACGCCACAGGAAGGCGAGATTGTAACCAAAGCATCAGACTTTAAAACTCATTTCAACCCTCTTCTTCCCGGATTTGGGGACTTTTCGCTCTGCCAGGAAGGCTGCGCGGTCCTCTTTCCCTCACTGCGCAGACGCCGTTTGAAAACAGGAGGTGAAGGGGTTGCAGTTGCCAAGGTGACGCCGAGCTGCCGCGAGGAGCGGGACCTTTCCCGCCCCATCACGCCGTCACGCGTTCTCACGCTTCCCCGCCTCCGACCTCGCGGCGGCGCCGATCACTGGCTGAACTCCCAAGTCTCACTATCCTCACTCCATCCGCGGAACCAATGGCTGAGACCACCAGGGATTCGTTGACGTGAGTCACACGCTGCCGGAGATGGCACGGTCCAATCAGTGAGCCGAGGAGGTTGGGCAGTAGCCTCTGCAGACCAATAACAGCAGGAGGGAGGGCCCTGCCCTCCAGACTCCGCCCGCGCCCCAGAGGTGGGTTCCTAGGCCGCCGCCGCACCTGGCGGAGTCCGGGTGGCTTCCTGGCAGTGTTCTCGCGGCGCCGCAGGTGAGCCACGCGGGAGGGCGACTCGCGGAGTGGGCGGGCCCCGACCCGGGATGCAGAGGAGAGGGAGCGCGTCCAGTCGGGGAAGGAGTGCAGGGTGGGTCGGGGCTCGGTAGGTTCCTCGTGTGCGTACGTGTGTGCGTGGTGGGGCAATTGCGGAAGACCCCGGCTTCGGGGAGATGGGAACGCGAACGCAGAGTGATGATCCGGTGGAGCCGGGCTGGGGCCTGCTTCTTGCCGCTTTAAAAGGTTCACAGTCGAGCCGGTTGTGTTGCCCACAGCAGCACTCGGGAGGCTGAGGCAGGAGGATCAAATTCAAGGCCAGCCTGGGCTATATAGCGAGACCCTGTCTCAGAATAAAATAAAGTAAAATAAAATAAAATATGTCCGACGGTAAGAATGTGAGAGGTGAGGAACTTGCGTTTTTTTCTGTGAGAGAGGTGCCCGCCAGCCTCGGATGAGTGTTTTAACTGATGTTTAGATGGAGTTTAAGAAGGCCAAGCTTGGAGGCAGGGCATCTCTGGCAGAGGGCTCATGAAGACCTGTGCTAAAAGACACTACTTGAGTGCTAAACTTCCAGGAGCCTGGGAGACCCAAGTTTCTGTTTGTAGATGAGCAGTCCAGCGGGTTTCGTAAGAGGAGAGATTCACCCTTCGACTTTCCAAGACCTCCTTCGCCTTTGAAGCCTGCATTTGTCTTTGTCAAGTTGACAAACCTGTGTCCTTTCCTCCCCATCCCTACCCCACCTTGGGACGGGATCTCGCTGTGTAGTTCAGGCTGGCTTTGGACTCACTGTGTAGCCCAGAGTGGCCTGGAACTGAAGAGAGGCGCCACACCTGGCTCCCTCCCCCGCCATGGCATTAGAAGTATTACGTGACACAAGGTAACACTTGAAGGCTGACACACACTGGTGGAGCCGGGGAGGGACCTACAACCTCCTGCCCCAGGTGACTTAGTGGGCAGCCTTGTGGCTCACCAGGTAGACAGTGAAGGAAGTGTTTGCGTGGGACAGAGAAACAGTTGGTGCCCTCCTGGGTAAGTCTCCTCTGCCATCTCTGAACTCAGCCAGAGGCCAGCATCTTTTTGGAAAATAACAACCTAGACTTCTGGATAGAGAAGTGGAGACAGCCAAGCTCAGTGTCTGTTTTTATTTTTGTTTGTTTTGAGACAGGATTTTGCTGTGTAGTCCAGGCTGATCCCCAGCTCACTATGTAGCCCAGGCTGGCCTTGAATTTGTGGTGATCCTCCCGCCAGCCTTCCAGTGCTGGAATTACAGATCCACACCACCAAGCCCGGCTCAGCATCTGCCTTTAAAATGGAGTGGTTGAGAAAGGAAGGCAACCTGTGAACTTTGCAGCCTCAGTTCTGAAGTTCACGAGGGCTTCCTGAGTCAGCCAGAGGTAGGAGGACCTCAAGCTCAAGGCCAGCCTGGGTGGTGGTGACTTAAAAATCGAAGGAGGCCAGTGGGGGATAGATGCTGTATTCTTTTTCATCTCTTGGTAAAGTCTTTGGATCTGGTGCTCCCTCTACTCAAAAGAGCTACTTTGTGCCACCCAGATCACACTCAGGTTCCAGGCCTCAGCACTAGAAACTTTCCTGCTCGGTGGCCTCACGACACTAGCATTCTTCCCCATTTGGTTCTCAGTACATCACTTTTTTTTTTGCGATGCCGGGCATTAAACTTACGACCTCCCACTTGCCAGGCAAGCACTTATGCCGCTGAGCTAAATCCCCAGCCCCATCACTTTTTTTTAAAGGCATTTACTTAATTTTATTGCTATGTTTTAGGTATACATAATAGTCATTCATTGTAAGAAATGTATACCTGTACATACGTCGTTTTTTCAATTTCTCTCCTCCCTTCAACTCTTTAGTTTTTATTTTGAGACAAAATTTCACAATGTAGTTCAGGCTAGTTTTGAACTCACTACATAATCCAGGCTGGCCTCGAATTTGTGGCGATCCTTCTGTCTCAGCTTCGTGAGTGCTGGGATTACAATGTGCACTGCCACACCTGGCTTCCCCTCCTCATTTACTAGAGCTTTGTTTCTAGTTTTCCTCCTACTATTCTTTCTTTTTCTTTTTTTGAATCGGTACTGGGGATTGAACTCACGACCGCCTGCTTGCAAGCAGGTGCTTATGCTGCTGAGCTAAATCCCCAGCCCCTATTATTTCTTTTTCTTATCCCTTCTTTCATCCCCCTCCCCATTCTCCTTTGTTCCCTTTCTCATTTGAACATTCTCTTCCCATTTCCCAATATTTATTATGTATTTTGGTCCACATTTTCAGTTTTGGTTTCTTACACTAGAGAAGCTATGTAATATTTGAACATGAGTATCTGCTTGCTTTCATCTACAAATACTGTCTCAGGTTGTGTCCATTTAGCTATAAATGTCTTAAGTTTGTCCTTATCTATGGCAGAGTAATATTCCATTGTGTATTAAACACCACATGTTTATCCATTCCTTGGCTGATGGGCATTTGGGTTGTTTCCAAGGTTTAGCTGTTATAGACTGTCCCTCTAAACACAAGTGAATATGTTACTGTGATTTTTTTTTTTAATTCTTTGGGAAGATGCATTCCTGTTTTGATGGTCTGGGTGTCGCAGTCTTCAGCAGTGTCAAGAGCTCCACCAGCCTGGAGTCTGCGCACAGTTCACGTTGAGAGCTCTCAGTGGGGACAGGAGAATGCCAGGAGCTGTGAGAGAAAGACTGCGTCTCCCACACTGGTCAAGGAAAATAAACTCCAGCTAGGAGATCTTTAGTGGTTTTATTTGAGCAATGAAAATAGAAAGCAGATTGCAATTGTTAGAAAGTGGGGAGAAAAAGAAGACAGCTCTCATAGAATATTTTTTGAGTTAACCATCCAGAAGGTTTCCCTCTATGATTTCTATTGCATGTTTATTATTTAAAAGAACGGTGCAGCTTAGTGGGTGAGTGCGTGAGCTTTCCTCTTTGCACCCCGGCTTTGGGTAGGTTACCTAGTTAAGCTTCGTTTCCCATCTGTAAAGCGAGGGCTGGGATGGTTCCTGCTTGTTCGGTTTTAATAATAAAGGTGCTATTTAAACCACAGAGCTCATTGCCACTGTAGAACACAGAGAATAGCGCAGGGCATGCTTGGTAATTGTTGGCTCTGTGTAGCAGCTCTGCTGGGTCCTGTGCCGAGTGCTTTGTAAACATTTTCTCTTGGACTCTGTAGAAGAGTGAACCGTGTTTATTGTTGCAGATTACCACAGCTCAAAGAGGTTACATAACTTGCACAAGGTCACGCAGCTGGTCAGAGGGATTGGCTCAGCAGCACCGTCCAGTTTGGTAATAACGTGCGCCGGGCCCAGTGATGCACACCTATAAACCCTGCGCTCCGGGAACCTGAGGCAGAAAGATCTCAAATTCAAGCCCAACCTGGGCAAGTTAGTGAATTAGTGAGACCCTGTCTCAAACTACAAAAGAGCTGAGTTTGTAGCCTAGTGTGAAGCCTTGGACTTAGTTGCTAGTACTAGAAGGAAAAAAATAGTGACCTCGAGAAAAGTGGAGGTTGGAATGATTTGTCTTATTTTGCAACTCAGGTCTTTGGAGATTGCATCTCACTCCATAGTTTAGGTTGGTTGTGAACTGTAGCCCAGGCTAGAGTCTCATCTCCCTTTTTGATATAGCGTGCTGAGGGCTAAGCATGGAAGCCTGCAACTAATCTGCCTAGAGCCCCCTGATTTCGCCTCCCACAGGCTAGCAACACAGGTGTGCCCCCTCCACTTGGGTTTATTTTGCAACTTTAAGATTTGGAGCTGAGTGTGGTGGGGAGGGGAGCAAACAAGCCATGCAGGCTGTCTCCTTCCTCTTCCTCCCCCACTTCTCTGACCAGCTCTCCCTGTCTGATTGAGGCTGGCCTTGAGCGCATTTTGTTACTCTGGCTGCCTGAAACTCAGTGATCCTCCTGCCTCAGCCTCTCACGTGCCCGGATTGTAAGTGTGTGTTACCGTGCTTGACTGTCCAGGCTTTATTTAGGGCTCTCCTTTGAGAAAGAAGTTTGTGGATTTAAAGAGAAAATGCAGCAGGGGCTGGGAGCAGTGGTGGAGGTAAGGGCAACTTTTCTCAGGAATGGAAGACTTGTTTGTTTTGAGATGAGGTCTCATTCTGTAGTCCAGGCTGGCCTCGAAAATGATGAGCTGCCTCAGTCCTGCTGCTCCTAGGATTGCAGCTGTGGTCTGCGACGCCTACCTGGAATGTGGTCTGTTTTCCCGCCATCTTGAACCATAGTGACTATCCCACACGGCAGCATGTGCTACCTGCGGACACCAACCCGTGCCACGCGATGGGACAGCCACCAACTTAGTGAATCAAATCTAGGTTCAATGTTGAGCTTATGGAGAAATTTGGATCTGTTCTCATCCAATTTCGGTTTTTGAAATTTCAGAATCATGGAAAGAATTAAGTTCTCGAACTGAGGCACCACTGTGTTCTGCTACTTGAGATTGTTATTTGGAGTAACACTGTAGCTTAGACATTTTCTGTAGAGAATATATAGCTTTTCCTTATGTTTTCTGTTTTTTGTGGAACCAGAGGTCTCTCGGGGTCTTTACGACTTTCCCAGCCTTTCAGTTTTGAGATGGGATCTTGCAGAGTTTTTCAAGTTGGCCATGGACTTGCAGTCCTCCTGCCTCAGCCTCCTGAGCATCTGGAATTACTTGCATGCCTGACTTCCTCTTTTTTTTTTAAATTACTTTTAGGGTACTGGGGAATTGAACTCAGGACCTTGCGTTTACCAGGCTGGTGCCATGCTGCTGAGCTGCACCCCCGGCCCCTCATTCTTTAAGTGACTATATACTTGTCTATGGAAGGACTTAACAGGACTGATATAATTCATCTGGTTGATTTACATTTTGCTATGCTTGTTTTCCTTTCTTTGTGCTATTAGAAGCATTCCAGTGAGAAAATTTCTGGGTCCAATTGCTGGGTTTGGGTTGTGATAGATATTGCTGATTTTGCCTCAAATGATAAATGAGTTTATTGACCTTTTTTGGGGGGGTACCAGGAATCGTGCTTGTCAGGTAGGTGCTGTGCTGCTGAGCTATTTCCCCACCCAATAAGTAACTTTATTCCCCTCCTTGCTGCCTGCGTGAGGTGATACCTGTCTGTACTCGGCCTCCCCTGTGCATACCCTCGCCTGCGGGGGCCTGGGCACTGTTCCACCTTTCATGCTTCCTCAGGCAAAAAGCACCCTGGATGTGTATTAAGAGACCATTTGCCTTTATTTTTCTGTGAATTGTCTGTTTCAGTTTCTGTTGGGTTTTAGTCTTTTTCTAAAGCACACTTTGTGGCTCTTTATTCTGTGTTGAAATATTTTTTCCCAGTTTCTTACTTGATTTCTGGTTTTATTTAGGACTTTTTATTCCTCCATTGGAAGTATTTAGTTTTTATAAATACTGTTGGCAGGCTTTTCCTTGATTGTTAAATGCTTAAATACAACTATTCCTCATTGAAATTAGAAGTTTTTTCATGGTGACCACACACTAAGAGATCTCTTGCTTGAAATCCCTTTTCTCCTGTTGCCTGCTTGTACCACAGCATGTGGATTTCAAAGCATTGCCTGCAGATGGAGATGCTGACATCCGGTAGGTTTACTAATCTCATTTTTAGAACCCGAGAAGTTGGGATTTGTTTAGTAAGTGTCAGTTTCACTGTCAGTTTTACTTCAGCTGTCACTACATATATATTTAAAACTTCTTTTTGGAGCCTGGCATGGTGAGGCATGCCTGTAACCCCAGCACTCAGGAGGCTGAGGCAGGAGGATCACCATGAATTTGAGGCCAGCCTGGGCTCCATCATTGAATTCAAGACCAGATTGAACTATAATAAGACCCTGAGTCAAAAACCAAAACAAAAGACTACCCCTGACTACTTCTGAATTTTATTGTTGAGTATGTCTGTTTATTTATTTTTACAGAATTAGAAAGCTGCCTGTGGAGATTTAAGAAATGGCAACTAATGAAAGTGCTGGCATCTTCAGCTCCGCCTCCTTGGCTGTGGAGTACATAGATTCGCTTCTGCCTGAGAACCCTCTGCAAGAACCATTTAAAAATGCTTGGAACTCCATGTTAAATAACTACACAAAGTTCCAGATTGCAACGTGGGGCTCCCTCATAGTTCACGAAGGCATTTATTTCTTACTGTGTATGCCTGGATTTTTATTTCAGTTTATACCTTATATGAAAAAGTACAAGATCCAAAAGGTGAGTGTGAGGGACTCGAATCCAGGCATTATGCTGGGTATGCCTGAGTATTTTAAAGACAAATGTAGCTTTGATGTAAGGGGCGTGGATTTGTTGTTCACTGGCTTTATAATTGACATACATGGGAAACAGTACAGTGTATGTTTCAATTGGTTATAATTGGTTAGACACTGTAATTTCTGTAGCTCCCTGGGTCTCAGATTCTAGAGAGGAAATTCAAGTGCCATTGTCAACTCCAAGCTGCAAGTTTAGTTAATTTTGTCCTCTATCACAGGTTTGGAGGAATGAGATTCAATAAGGCCCAAGAGTAGAAATACAAGGGCAGTCGAATTGTACTGTATCTTATCTACCTTCTCACTTGATCATTGAGAAAACTTGTGTCACTGAGTGGTGGGTGTTGGCAGTGTGGTTTTAGAACCCTGATCCCTTACTTCAGGGCTTTTTCTATTTTGGCCAGGAAGGTATCTCTTGATGAATTTTAAAAGCAGAACTACATCAAGAGACCTAAATTTCAGTCCAACATCGTGGTTTTTTTTACCAAAACTACTTTTTCTCATGTAGGCAGCCTTTTAGATTGAATAATTTAGTGGTTTTAATAATGGCTTGCAGAGCAATTTGGTATCCTTATGAGCTTTTATAAATATTTCCTAAATTGGCCTCACTTTTCTTATTTTGAATTTGAATTTCATCACAAGAGCACATTTCTGAAGTTTCTTTAGACTCCCAGAGTTTATAATTGGGGTTTTTTTTTTTTTTTGTCTTTTTCATTTTTATCGGTACCGGGTATCGAACTCATGACCACCTGCTTACAAGGCAGGTGTTTATGCCGCTGAGCTAAATCCCCAGCCCCTATAATTGGGTTTTTTGTTGTACATGAATAAGATACTTATTTCTTAGAAGAAAAACTACTGAAGCATCGATTTGCTTGAGTAGAAGTTTCCCATGCTGTATGTATACACGGAAAGTTGGGGGTCACCCAGCTGTAATCTTAGCTTAACACCGGCGGGGGTGGGGGGCTTGGTTAGCATTTGCTGTTCTTTGTTTTAGCCCCTTGTGACTAGGTTTGTCTGTTTACAGTTTTGTACTTGTTTAGTTAAAGTGGGGATACTTTAGTTGTCAAGAGCCTTAGCCACTGTAATATAAAACTAATAATGCAGAATTAAAGTCTGTTACGAACTTTGGAGAAAAAATTAGAAATTTCAGTTTGTACTTCTAGCTATCATGCTGTATTCTTGAGAACAGAGACTAATGTTAAATGTTGTGATTTTTCTCAATAGGATAAACCAGAATCATTGGAAGGCCAGTGGAAATGTTTTAAAGTGCTTCTCTTTAATCATTTCTGTATCCAGCTGCCTTTGATTTGTGGAACCTATTATTTTACAGAATATTTCAACATTCCTTATGATTGGGAGTCAATGCCGAGATGGTATGTAGAGAAAAACTTGATTTTTATATTCAGTCACGCATTGAATTATGCCTTCTTTCTTCTTTTGGTTAATTATTGCTTTAAACTTTAGGCGTAAATAAATTAGAAAAGTGAACCATAGCACAAACTTAAAATGTTCTTGTTTTTTTCCCCCTATATTTTATTATAGTGTTTCATTGGAATAGTAAAATCAGAAGCTTTCTGATTGTATAGAAATTTGCCTGGTTATACTAAGGAGAAACGTACATTTAAGTCCAAATTAAAAACATGAGTGAATAGATTACATGGTTTCTAAAATTGTATCCATAGTTCATACAGAAATACATACACATAACCTGAGTTTAATTACTATATTTTTGCTCAGGTAATATTTAAATTCAACTGTTTGTCTTTGACAGAATTAAATACAGATACATAGCTACCCCTCCATATTTATGCCTTCTGTGTTCCTGAATTCACCCAGCTGTGGACTAAAAATTCTTTTTGTTTTATAGTCGGGGAGTTGTTCATTTGTTGTTTTTTTTTTTGTCTTTTTCCTTTTTATCGGTACCGGGGATCGGGTTCATTTGTTTTTGAGAAAGAGTCTTACTGAGCAGTTCATGCTGGCTTTTAACTTACTGTGTAACCCAGTCTGGCCTTGAACTCACAGCAATACTCCTGCCTCAACCTCCCTCCTGAGTGTTTGAATTACAAGTGTGCACTGCCATGCGTGACAGATTAAAAAGGTTTTTTTTAAAAGAAAATAAAATCATGTCTTTACAGAACATTTATGTAGCAATTATATTAAGTATTATAAGTATTCTAAAATGATCTAAATATATGGGAGGATGTGTTAGATTTTAACAAATCTACACCTTTATAGAAGGGGCTTGAGCATGTGTGGAGTTTGATATCCATGAGGGAGTCCTGAATTCAGCCCCTTTGCAAATGCCGAGGGATAACTGTACACTTTTTCCAATAATGGCTATTTATCATGTAAAAGAATTTTTGATTATTTTTTCATTTGAATGTAAATCATTTTTTGCCATTTCAATTAATTTTTTTGGTCTTATAACTAGACAGGAAATGTAAAAATGCCTTCTCTAGTAGAAAAGTAGTTGTAAATAGGCACAGAAATGCACACCTATAACACCTATAATTAAAAAATTAAAATTAAATCTCAAAGTTTTTTGAAAGGATTAAGGATATAAGTTAGTGGAAGAGCTCTTACCTAGCATATTTGAAGATCTGAGTTTAGTTCCTCATGTCACAAAAAATAAAAGGTGGTGTCAGTTTAACTATTCTTAATCTTCAATTCTTTTTTTGTTTGTTTGTTTTTTGGTGCCAGGGATTGAACTCATGAGCTCAAGTTTGCCAAGCAGGCACTTACACTACTGAGCTAAACCCCCGTCCCCAATCTTAAGTTCTTCATCAACATTACTGTCTGGGAATTTTAGATTTTGTTTTATAATTATGGTTTGAAAACTGGTCTTTGACAAAATGAAATGGAAAGAAAGTAATAGTCCATCTATTTAGCTTTATTTCAGGCTATTTCTCATAGCTGTGTCTCGCAGTTTTCAGAATTTGTTGATTAATATATGCAGTTAGGTCAAGTTGATAACAAGGTGTTATGTAGAATCTTAAGCAGCAATCCTAAGTAAGTGTTCCTTTGTATTCATTGTAATTTCATCTTCAAGGTACGCACTTTTGGCAAGATGCCTGGGCTGTGCAGTTATCGAAGATACCTGGCACTATTTCTTGCATAGACTCTTACATCACAAAAGAATATATAAATATATTCATAAGGTTCATCATGAGTTCCAGGTATGTTCTAATTGTATTTAATACTTTTTCTGTTAAAGGCAAAGTATCTACTTCTATTGGTTGGCATTTTGAGTGGATACGATGGTGCACACCTGTAATCTCAGAGTTTGGGGAAGTTGAGGCAGGAAAATTCCAAGTTTGACATCAGTTTAAGCTACATAATGAGACCCTGTCTCAAAAAATAGCAGCAGCAAGGTTTCTCAATGATATTTTTGCTTTTCTTTTGGCATGATTATTAAGAACATTGGCATGATTATTAAGAAGATCTGAAAATTTTCTTCAACATCTAAATTTCTTGGTAAATTGAGACATGGAAGAAAAATATTACATGAAATAAGTAAGACTCAGTCCTGTGGCCAGATACTGACTGACACTGTCATATACCTGGCAGTTGATAGTGGCTATCCTAATGTTAGGGTCATTGAGGTGAGACTCCAGGACAATTAATATCTAAACCTGTTTATTGCAGAGCTGATTCCACAACAAAAAGTGATTTTTCTTTTTTTTTTAAAAGCAGAATCGCTTTGACGTAGCTTTGTCAGGGTGGCTGTGTTGGTACGTTTCTCATTCTCATGATTACCATAGTCACTCCTTACCTACAGGGAGACCGTCCAAGAGGCCCCTTGCTGGGTGATGCGATTCTGGATCTCCCAGACAGCTCGTGGGGTCAATGACTGATACATAGGTCGAGCATCACATGGAGACAGGGAACAAACCTATAGGTCGAGCATCACATGGAGACAGGGAACAAACCTATTGTGTATGTGTTGGGAAGCGATGGTACTGATCTCATTATAACTCGGTGCTGCACCATTTAACACTATGAATGGTTCATTTCTGGAATTTTTTTCCCTTTACTACTTTTGCACAGTAATTGACCCTGTGTAAATGAAACTTGGGAAAGCAGGACTGTGGATAAGGTTTTTACTGGACATGGTATGCTGTCAGGCACAGGTTTCTTGGGAGAACGAATGCATAAATAAAAAGTTAAATTTCATGTCAGTTGTTTAATATCTTTAACTTAAACCATTAAAGATAATGGTTAAGATTTTATGCCTATAAGAACAAAAAGATATTTATTGAGAGCTATTATTTATATGATCAGATATATTATCATTAATATAGAAATACAGCTTTATAAAACTACATGTATAAGTAGAAGAAATATGTTCTCCAGAGAAGCAGAATCAGTGTATGGAGGAAGGGATGGTGATTTAGTTTAGGAATTAACTCAGGAATGCTGGGGTTGGCAAGTCTGAAATCTGTAGGGCAAGCTGCAGGTTGGGGATTTGGGTGAGAATGGATACTGGGGGCATTGGGTCCATGCTCTGCAGGGAAATATCTCCAGAGTTTAGACGGGGTCCCTGTGTTGTAGTCTTGAGGATTCATGCTGCCCCAGGAAAACTGTCTCTTCTGTTAAGCTTCAGCTGGTTGAATGAAGCCCGGTGTCCTCTTGGAGGAAAGCTTCCTTCACCTGAGACTGCTCTTGGAAATACTAGCCACGTCTAAAGTGTAGCTTCACAGCAGCTTCCACACTGTTTGGCCACATGGCGGAGTACTGTCCATAGCCTCAGTTACACGTGAAATTAACCGTCACAGCTTATTAAGGGCTTCTTACTCTGTTTGGGCTAGGCTCCGTTTGGAATGGAAGCTGAATATGCACATCCTTTGGAAACCATAATCCTTGGGACTGGATTTTTCATTGGAATCTTGCTTTTGTGTGATCATGTAGTTCTCCTTTGGGCATGGGTGACTATCCGCCTGATAGAAACCATTGATGTCCACAGGTGAGTTATGTTCTGTTCACATGTGAGGTGTGATGCTGAGTATCTTCATTTTCATGGTCATAAGATTATCAGGGTTTCTGTGTAAACTAGTCTTGTGTTACTGTTTTTTTTAAAATAGAACATAATCATTTGATAAATTTTCAAATAACAGAATTATTTTTGTGTTCTAATCTCTTCTGTTATCATTTTTTATGGCAGAAGGGTACTGTGTAGGCAAATTACATATGCAGATCAGCAATTCTCTTTTTTTTTTTTTTTTGTCTTTTTCATTTTTATCGGTACCAGGGATTGAACTCACGACTGCCTGCTTGTAAGGCAGGTGCTTATGCCGCTGAGCTAAATCCCCAGCCCCTCAGCAATTCTTTTATCCTGTATGAAACCTTAAATCTAACTTGTATTTTGATAGCGCTATGTCTTGTACACACTAGGCAAGTGCTCTACACTGAGCTGCATCCCCAATTGTCAATCTGAAAATACATTGAGGCCTTCAGCTTTCATCGAGACCCTTCTCACTCTCCTCTGTCCAACATCAGTGAAAGTATTTGTGTGATGAAAGTCTTGCTTATAGTACAGATGTAATTCAGGGACTTCCTTTCTATTCATTAGCAGATGTTTTGTGTTAAATCATTTATGTTGAATACCTTTCTGCATGCTTAATATCTTAACTTCACGCTGTTTTAAAATTATGTGTTCATGGGCCAGAGATTTAGCTCAGTGGCTCAAGCGCTTGCCTGGTGGTAGCACAAGGTCATGAGTTTGATCCCTGGTACCAAAAAAAAAAAATAATAATTTGATTTGGGACTTACAACTATAGCTAGGAAATGCAGAATATCAAATTGTGTACATCTGAGTAGAAATAAAGGAAGATACTTTAAATGGACTCTTTGGAGTCATTTATATTTTCCCCACTATAGAAAGGGACATTTCTATGGCTTTGGTATTTCAATTAGTTTTCATTTAGTGCCAAATGTCACTTCAAAAAGTAAAAGAAGGTGCTACACAGTGATTCTGGGGCTTGACTTTTCTTTTAATATTTGGATGTTAATTTCATATAACTTTCCCCAAAAATGTAGGTAGTATTTAAACATTATTTACAGCTGTTACAGATTATAATAGGAAAGCTCCTCTAAAACCAAATGAGAGTAAGTTAAAAATGAATGTGTGATGATTTATAAGTTCTTTCTTTCTTTTTCTTTCTTGTAAACATGTCTTAATGAAGTGACGTAGACAAAACAGAATAGGCTGCTCATGAACATGTCAACTGTGGTTTCTATTAACATCTTTTCATTGCTTTGATTGCAGTGGTTACGATATTCCTCTCAACCCTTTAAATCTCATCCCCTTCTACGCTGGCTCCCGGCATCATGATTTCCACCACATGAACTTCATTGGAAACTATGCCTCCACGTTCACGTGGTGGGACAGGCTTTTTGGAACAGACTCTCAGTTTAATGCTTATAATGAAAAGATGAAGAAGTCTCAGAAAAAAGCTGAATAAATTTCTCTCTGACCTCTCCAGAGATCTACATTTTCCTAAATTGAAAATAGTAGCTAACATTGCTTCCGGGGAGCAGAAACAAGCATGTGTCTTGGCTGCTAAGTGATAAAAAGAACAATTAACAACCTTTAATTATCTTCCTAGTGGGAACTTTGTCTACTTCGCATACAAGTTCTGCATATGTACAAATAAATCAGTCTATATTTAAGTACGGTTTTCAATGGCTAACCGTAAGAAGAGGTTTTCAGTAATGAAAGAAGTATTCTCCTGTGCTCCTGTCCTCCTGTGCTACCAGAGACCTGAAGTTGACAGTGTCTTCCGACCTGTTAGATACATACTGTCATAATGGCATTGGCCTCACCTTTGAAACTTTTTTTAGAATTCATCTAAAATCAAAATAGGATGAACTGCAGTGGCAGTGACTGAAGCCAGCACAGCGGCAGCAGCCAGCCGCAGGACTCTTAACTCTGGCTGCAGCTTGCCAGGTGAGGGGGATGCTTCGGGAGTCATTTTGTATTGCAATGCAGTGTTGCTGTCTGTAAATTAGAACATTTCTGATACAATGTGAGTGGAATATTTTAGAAGCTTTTTCAAATTACTTGAATTTTTTAAAAAGTCAGCTTTATTCTGTTTACCCCTTCATTTTCGTATAGTAAGTTTTCTTTCTAATTAAATATGTATCTTGAAACTTTGTGAACTGACTCACTGTTATTTGCACTTTGAGCTATTGAAATAAATGGGATTTTTGTGCGACTTTTCTGGTTTCCGGTTTGGAATATTTGCCGTCACCTTTTCTTAGGAGGAATCCGAACTGGGTGTGGTGTCGTGCGCCTGTGATCCCAGCACTTGTTGAACTGCTGCTGCTGTCTGATGGCTTCCACTTGGTTTTTCTGTCGTGGGAAATCCCACTGGCTCAGTACAGTGGCTGATACGGAAGCAGTTTTTTGCTTTGAAATGTTTTCTCCACAGATGGAACAATATAGCTGAACTCTTTAGGGCTAATAGGATCTCCAATATCAAATCAAATACTGTAATTCTTACTAGTACTGGTATTTGTTGTTTTTAAAACTAACTGGGTGTGGCGGCACACACCTATAACCCCTGATACTTAGGAGGAAAGTTGAGGCAGAAAGATTGCAAGCTGGAGCCTAGCATGAGCAACATAGCAAGATCCTATTTCAATGGACTTTTTTTAAAAAGAAAAAATTCAAAACAGGTCAATACAATGCTCAATACATTGCATAATGTTATCTTCAAATCAGTGACTCGGAGTACAAGTTATCTGCCTTTAAATGTCTGAACAATACTAGCACAAAGCTTTCTCTTCAATGAATTCAGAGAAATCAGTAGTGTATGTTTAACTACCATATATATATACGCACACATGCATGTTATTTCAGCTTCTCATACTAGGGAGACAGACAATTTTAAACAGGGCTGGGGATGTAACTCAGTGCAAAGACCCTGGATTCGATTACCAGCTCTACCAAAAGTTTTTTTTTAAGTCATTAATTTCTGAGTACTTTGCTGTTTTTGAAAACTTATACAGTAAAAGCCCAAGTAAAGATTTGGGTACAACAAAATATTTTGGTACCCCATGTTTTGTAACTTACACATGGTTCATACCTGCTCCTCACAGTTCTGTGTGTGTGTGTATAAAAAATGTTAGCTGCCATTTCTCAAAACCACTTTGGTTGGGGTTGCTCTTTAAAAGGTGCTAATTATAAGATACTCTTAAGAGTGCTTTTCACCTTGCATGAGACTGAGGGCAGGATTGTGAGTGAGGCCACCATGGGCTGTGCAGTGAATTCATGGCATCCTGGACTACGCTGCAAGGCCCTCCAGGAAAAACATGTTTTCTTTTCCTAATGTGTATAAAACACACATATAATAAAATACGATTCCCCTTTCGGTATCTGGGGAGAGAGTGACCCCTTCTGATGCCTAACATTTTTAGACAATTTGGTATATTTCAATTTCACTCTTCCTTTCGTGCTAGAGATGGAATGCAGGATCTCGTGCATGCTAAGCACATGCCTAAACTGAGCTACATGTGCTGCTCACTCTTAGAGTACTGAGCGTACTCTATCAGCCCTGAGCTGGGTGGGCTTTTAATGCATGTTCATGCTGAGTCTCCGAGGTAGATGCCATTTCTCACAGTAGATGAGAGAACTGTCTGAGAGGTGGTGTCCCAGGACTGACTGCAGAAGCTGTGCTGTGATACTTCATTCCCTCTGCTGCAGAGCTGCATGGGAGAATTTCAGGGAATAGTTAGCAAGCTTCATCCCACCATCCCTGCCTCTCTTACTGAGGTCTTACTCCCCTTTCAGATGAGAGAAGTCCCACTGGTGCCCTCAGCTTGGGACAGTCACCACTCCCACATGCTCCGCTTTGGATGGCTGCCTATTTGGCCAGATATCTGTTCTGTACTTTGTACTTGCAGTCTTCTGTCTCTTTGCTCGTGTGTATCTTCCAGCAGTGACATTTGTTAACATGGTGAAAGGCACGGTGTGAGTGGCAAAGCTGACAGCAGAGCGCCCTATCCTGCATTTGTAAAAGTGATTGTGAAACCAGTTTAAGCGACCAGGCAGTGAGTCAGTCTTCTTGAGCTACATACGAGGTGTGGTAAACTGACTTCAAACGTTTTTATTAAAATAGAAGACACATTGCCGTTAATCCCCTTCAAAATACTCCCCCATGCTTCAAACATACAAACCATCAAAGCGGTTCTAGAGTTTCTCTGTGACCTTAGCTGTGCTGCCATGACTGCTTTGATATCGCAAAGCAATTCAAAGCATTTATCTCTCGTGGTCCTTTTGACTTTGAGGAAGAGCCGTGATAAGGGGGATGAGCCCACAGCATTGCTCACCAGGCTGCCAGGTGGGATGGCCTTTGCAAGCAGCATTCACTGTGTTTTTACACATCTCATAAAGGCATTTATGCAAGGACTTCAGGACTGCTTCCGAAGTGGCGAGAATGATGGGCTAAGTATTCAAATAAGGGGCAGCATTTGGAGGGGGATGAAGGGCCATGTGTCTTTTTTGGTAAATTTTCCAAATTGAAACATCATATATTTTGATCACATGTCATGTTTTCTCCCCCTCCTGTGGATTAGGTTCAGTTTTTTCAGAGAGGAATCTCCCAGTCTGGAACAGAAAATGCTCAGAAGCCATCATTGTGGGCATCAAACGTAAGAAGGAGGCCAAAGGCCGGTAACAGCCCCATGTGTGCCCGTCAGTATCTCTTGGGCCTCACGTGAGCTCTCCCTAGAGAGTCCAAAACTTCAGTTTCTCAAAGAATAAAGCTGTTTCCCTAAGGGTGGTGTCCACACAGAGTTGGAGATGTGATCTGTGGCCTAAATGCTTTGTGATGGGCGCATAGAATAGATGGAAAAGTTGGGTTTAGTACTTCATTGTACAGTGGTATTTACTTGTCAGTTGACATACACAGTGCTAACACCAGGAACACATAAGCCTGATGAGTGAGCACATGCATGCATCACTACTCTGATCAAGAGCTTGACTATATCTTGTATCAATTTTCTATGTTTGATCAGAAATATAATTAAGAGTCTTTACCTACCTGAAGAACTGAATCCTAATCATCTTAACCAACAAGAGTCACTATGTGATTTGAGGCTTTCCCTCAAATGAAAAAGCGTACCACGTTCATGGATCAGAAGACTTACCATTTCCCCACTACTTCCCCAGTCTAACCACAGGTTCCACACATTCCCTGTCAAAATCCCAGCTGCCTTTTTATAGAAATTGTCAAGCTGACATTAAAATGTTTACAGAAACTCAGGTGACCCAGAATAGCTATAATGATCTGGAAGATGGTTGAAGGATTCACATTTCTCAGTTTAAAAAAAATTTTTTTTAAATTTTAAAGAGGGTAAAATTAAACATAACAAAACAAATCATAAGAAAACAATTTAAGAAACACAGATTTCAAAGTAAGACCTCTGGAGATCTTCACTGTCTATCATTGTCTCTTGTTTTCTTCCAAATAGTTGTCCATATCTTCACACACAGTGAATACATACCAAACAATATAGTACTAAACTGATCAGAACAAGATGATGAAGGCATTTTAGGTCTTCAGGACCAGACAATAAGGGACAATAAGCCAACAATGGCTGCCATACTGCCTCTCGTTGTCTTCAAAACAGCTGTCCATATCTTTACGTATGTTGAAATTAAAAGAAAATAGACTAATATCACTCTGAACAGAGAATAATAGTATTGCTAGATTTTATATCATAACGCTACAGAATTAGCACTGGGTATCTTAGTGTCTCTTCTTCAGAGTATCTGTTCATCACATTGTGCATTATATAATCCATTCTTGTAAACTGTTTAGAAGTTCTACACATGCGTGAATCTCTACATGTATACCTATCCTTTCTGTATAATAGGGAAAAGCAGATCAAAACAAGACAACAAAACAAATTCCTAGAAAAACATGAAATGACGAAGATATATAAAACCACAATTCTAGGTGATCTACAGCAGTTTCTATGCTGTCTTGTTATTTTCAATAGAATTGTCTATATCAACAGGTATAATATAATTGAATATAGCACTACATAGCAATATTAATAAAAACGAAACATTGGAGACATTATGGGACTTCAAAAGCAGTTAATAATCAAACCAGAATGGGTATCCTATTACATCTTGTCATCTTCAGAGTAGTTGCCTCTGCTCTTAGACTTGATACTACCAAGCATACCAAATTTGAATAAAATCGGTCAAGACAAAACAGCAGTCTAACAAACCAGATTCAAATAAGATCAGTCATGGTAAGACAGTGTAAGTAATACAGGGCTTCACTTTAAGTTAATAGGAAATTAAGGATCATAGTATATCCTGCTATTTTTGGGATAGCTCTCTGTGCCCTCAAATCTAGTATGAGTAGACAGACTAGAACAGAATAAAATCAAACTAAACATCGATAAGACTAATGTGGCCTTTAAATCCTGATACACTATTAACAATGTCCTTTGCCTTCTTTTTAAAGACAATTCCTCCCTTTTCCCTTTCTTAGGGTGCTTTGTACATTTTAGGTCTCACTAACTCTTTTGGGTTTTAGATAAGGGGGCCACCCGTTATCTATCTAAGTGATGCTGAACCTTTTTACCCCTGAGATTGATCTTGAGCTGTATTCCTTTACCTACTAAAGCCTCAAGGTATTCCTTTCTAACAGCTGAGTAGTTCTCCACTGCACAAAAGTGTCGTGTCTTTCCAACATATCTGCAGCTGCTGGACGAGGTGTCCCTATTTCTCTCTGGTTTCTTGTCACATAAAAAATCGTTTTCTCATCTTTGACTTTTGGTTTATTAACCCTCTTTCAGGTTTAGTATATTTCCTATTCAGAATATCTCAGTGGACCCTATCTCGTGATCTACTCTGCCTGTGAGATGAGGCAGAGAAGGTTGGCTATAATCTCTAATATAGATGGCTTTTATACCCTAACAAAAAGAAACACAGTTGGTTTTTTTTTTTTTCCAGTACTGGGGATCAAGCGCACTTATGCAGCTGAGCTAAACCCCCAGCCCACATTTATCAGTTTTAAAACTTAACAAAATTAGTTTATCAAGACCATGTGCTACTGACATAAGGATCAATACATAAAGAAATGGAATAGGATTGAGATTCAAGCATAAATTGATGGTCAATTGATTTTGATAAGAGTATCAAAACAATTCAGTAGATACAGAATAGTCTTCTCAACAAATGATGTTAGGACAC